TCCCAACAACTGTCTGTCAACTAGCAACTGCATAAGTCACTTAGAAACTGCTTTTTCGTCACCTAGCAACCACCATCATAGAACTGTATCTGTCAGTCTGACGCTCTTGTTTTTTTTTCCCGCCTCAGACTCAGTTCGTCTCGGCCTTCAAACAGTCACCTCGCCGTGAGGATGACATCAGCATTGTCACCGCGGCGATGAGTGTCACCTTTGCTCCTGGAACTAACATTGTCCAGGACCTGAGGCTGAGCTATGGCGGCATGGCGGCGACCACAGTGCTGGCTACTAAGACAGCAAACAGCCTTCTGGGAAGGTAACAGAACCGTAACCCAAGAGCGCAGATTAACGGAACAGATGGAGGGAGGAGCTAACTCTCTGATAATATAATTCAGGTGCTGGGAGGAGGAGCTTCTTCAGGTGGCCTGCTCCTCACTGGCTGAGGAGATGACCCTCGACGCCTCTGTACCAGGCGGCATGGTGACGTACCGGCGAACTCTGACCCTCAGCCTCTTCTACAAGTTCTACCTGACGGTGCTGCAGAAGCTCCGGCAGCAGGTTGGACTATTGACACTTTTCAAAAATTGGATTTTTCTGATTTGGTTCGTCTGTAAACGCAGCTGACATCAGAAACCTTTATTATTGTTGTTGATCTGTTTAACATGAAGAACGTTCTGTGTTATGTATCATATTTGTTTTTAAACCATTTGTCACTGATTCACCTCGAGCTGGTAAATGTTTATTTATGTTTATTAATATTTAATGTAGTGTTGGTTTTTATTGGACAGGGTGTGAATGTGGACGAGGTTCGTTCAGACTTTGTGAGCGCCACCGAGATTTATCACCCAGAGACGCCATCTAGTGTTCAGATCTACCAGGTACAACAAAGTTCATTCAAACTAAATGTATATCGATAATAACATTTATACTTTTATTTCAAGAATTCAATAAGAACAGTAACAACATCAACATCAAAGTTTTGGCACCTTGGTGTGTAATTCCACATTTTTCCTCCAGGCGGTGCCAGAGGGGCAGAGTCAGGACAATGTGGTGGGCCGTCCCGTGATGCACCTGTCGGCCATGAAGCAGGCGACAGGTGAAGCGGTTTACTGCGACGATGTGCCGCTGTACGAGAACGAGCTTTACCTGTCACTCATCACCAGCAGCAAAGCTCACGCTCGCATCATGTGAGTGTGTAACCAACACACACACACACACACACACACACAC